AGGATAGACGACGGTGGAGGTGTAAACTGGTGGTGGAAGAGAGGGAGAAGGGAAATGAAACTAAAACTTAACTTAAATAACATAATGTAACAATAACTTAAAAATAACTTAACACTAATTTTTTTATCTTTTCTGTTTTATATATATATATATATTTTTTTTTTATTCAAGCATTAAAATTATATAAACAGTAAGTAATTTATTAAAATTATTTATTGTCTATATAATTTTAATTCTTAAACTTATTTCTAAATAAATAGTAATTTTTTTAGAAATTAAGTTAATATTTATTGTAAAATGAATTGTGGATATATTCTGTAAGTTTGTTAAAATACTACAACAAGTTTATGGAATAACATTTTATTTACAATACATTAACATATTGAATGAATTAACAGAACTGCAAATTTTACCATTATTATTTTGTTATTAAATATCATAATGAATCAATAATAATTACATTTATTATTCAGTTTGAAAAATATTAAGTAATTTATTAATTTATTTGTATTATCAATATATTAATATATTAACTAATAAAAAGTGGTATAAAAATTTTTTTGACAGTTGTTGTTGTTTGATTATGACAAAGTAGAACTTGCTAATATGAATAGACTTTTCTTCCAACCACATCAAGCTGGGTTAAATAAGGTTGAAGCAGCTGCAAAAACATTGAGGTATAAATCATTTTACAAGTTTAAATTGTCAAAATTATATTAATTTTTCATTAATTATAAATTTACAAATTTAATAGTTTTATTAATCCTGATGTGGAATTTGAAACTTATAATTATAACATCACAACTATTGATAATTTCACAGATTTTATGGAAAGGATCAGGTAAACTATTATTGTGTTTTAACCTAAAAATAGATTGTAAAAATTTATATAATATAAATTTTTGATACTTAGTCTATATTAAAACAATATTTTAAATTTTAGCCATGGATCAATAGATAAAAAGAATCCAGTAAATTTAGTTTTGAGTTGTGTAGATAATTTTGAAGCTAGAATGGCAATAAATACCGTGAGTTAAATTTTATGGTAAAATTTATTCAAGTTAATTAAGTTTATTAAATATCATAAAATTCAATTTTTAAAATAATTTTATTTCATATGAAAATAAAATACAGTAGGCTTTCAGTTTAATGGACTAATTGGAGTGAAAGGGGTGTCTGTTATTGCTGAAAGATTGTTAAATTGGTTTTATTTTAAAAACATATATAATGAACTTACAACACATAGAATGTACTTAAAATATTGCTTTATTGTATAAGTATGAATAAAATATTATTATAATATACTGTATATTGGAGAATTTATACTCATTAACTTATACAACTTCTTGCATGCTTTATTTGGAAATTAAAAATGGTTCTAAATTTTTTGTATATTAAATTGAAGGTCTGCTGTATTTTATATTTTAATTTCAGTTTAATGAATATTAATACTTTAAGTAAGTAACATACAAATGATATTTAAAAATTCACAATAAAAATTTTAAAAACAAAATGAACTTATCAAAATAAGTGAACCATTCCCGATAAAAATAGGTTTACAAATCAACTGTTTCAAGAGATAAATGGAATTTTCAAAAGACATTACTCAAAGAGAAAACTTGAGTTTTTTCAAAGAGTCTATAGTAGATCCAAGTACATGAATAGTAATGCCAGACAGTTCTTCAGTTCTTTTAATCATTGTCATTTATTGGTCTGTTCCATAATCAGTATTCCTAAGATGAGTTTCATGTACATTGCAGAGTTAGGCACTTTCTGTTGCATGTGTTGTATGCTGAAACTTTACTTCATTCTTATTTACAATTCTGACATGTATCAGTATGGCTTCTCTTTGTACATTCTTACATTCTTTGTACTTGTCTTTTGACATGTTTTCTGTTTACAATGTTTTGTGTGCACTTCATGTGGCAGCACTGGAAACACTGTAGAACCAGAAAGAAATCTCTACTCTGCATCTCACCCAGTCCATGTAACTTTCTTACTTTTTATACTTTTCTTTTCACATCAAGGCAGCAATTTTGACCACTCAATTATTGTTTGTCCTCTTTTCCTTGTTTTCGAGTTGGAATTTAACTTTAATATTCTCTCCAATTCTATACTATATTTCAACTTTAACTCTTCATTTTGGTGGAATATTTCTTCTAGAATGTCATCTTCTTTGCTTTCCTTTAGTATTCCAATCATGATGATCTTCGGTTTTCTTGAAATGGACTGTTCAGTCTTTAGTCCTGTCCTTTCTGTGACTTCTTTTTTCACTGCTTTAATACTTATGCCCATGTCTTTGGGTTTAGATTCTTTTTTAACATAGTCTTTGTATTCTCTGAATCCTCATTATCCTCCTCAGGCTGTACAATGATAACTTCTGGTTTAGTAGGAGGTATCCTTCCTTCCACAGTTTGTGCATAACTTGCTGGTCTATTCACTTCCTGTACCAGCATTTTTTCAAATTTCTTATTGATATTCACTAAAGTCTCTTGGAGTGAATTGTTGTCTGCTATTTTGATTATATTAATCACTTTATTCACTAAATTTACTACAACTGCCCTTGAGGGAGGCGTTAACACCATATCATATTAAATATAATAGATTTATTGTAATGTATCAGGTTTAGTAAAGATGTTTACACTTCATTCACTCTTTAAGACCTTGTAAGACATTACAATTGTACTGAAGTGCAATTTGGTGTTTACCTTAATGTACTGACTCAGCTCAAGCCTACACTTTCAGCCAGTTTGAGTCTTTCTCCTGTAAGGTTAACAACTTCCATATCTTTATCAGAAGCCTGCTTGTCCTCACTCACAAAGCTTAAGCCACTTGAAGGCCATTTTTCCATCCTGAGACTGACTATTAGCTTCACCAGAAGACCAGGTTACTGATGAGCAATAAGTTGTCAGTCTTGCCCTTGTTCAAATAATCAAGTCAAAGAATGAAAGAAGCTCAGTGAAAAAGCTTACTAAAAACAGTTGAAACTTGTCAAACAAAATAAGAGTACCTGACCATTAGTAGTAGTAGTAGTTCCTTCAATGCTAAGTAGCATACCGAGCAGCAATTATCATCCATTGATTTCGATCCTGGGCAAAGGCTTCCTCCCACGTTACATTGAGCATCTTCAAATCTTGAAGAAAAATTCTACGCCAAGTATCACCAGTCGTTTATCACCAGGGGGAACCGATTTCATGGCTGTCATAGTGATCTGATTATTCTCCAAATGAAAAATGTGGTCAGTTAGTCTGACTCTTTTACAGGTGACAATGTTATGAAGTTTACACATCACTCCTTCGGAGGACCTCTTCAATGGTGATATGATCTAAATATTGGATCTTTAGGATTTTTGTCATAAGCATCTCTGTTGGAAGACATTGAGCCTTCTATTGATGTTTTCTGATGTCTTCCAGGACTCAATAACCCAATCAGAGGCATTTGAAACCCAAGTTTGAATATTAGAAAATATTTACTTGAATTAAGGATTGGACGTTGGGTTAGCAACTCATCCCTGTAAAAATTATGAGAGCTACAGAAACAGCAAGAATAAATGTGCCCGTTATAAATAAATTATTTGCATTACAGTAGAACCCAAATTATCTGAAGTAATGTAGAATGATGTCAGCTCAGATGATTGATAAAATTGACAATGATGGCCATTTCTGATTTAAAATGACAAATAAAAAAAACATTTATATGGTATCACTTTTAAGCCTTTTTTTACATCTTAGTGAATTTAATCATTCATAAGAACAATATTTTTTATTTCATTTATTATAGAGATAATATGTACAATAGTTTTAAAATAAAAGTGTGTATTATTGTAGTTACAGTTTAATATGAATGGTCTGTGTCACATTGAAGTTAAATGATAAACAAATACTGATAGTAACAGAAACAAATCATTTTGTAATATATGTTATTGTTTCAAACAAAAACAGATCACTTTATTAATCCTAGCAACTTATTTATTTAAATTAAGATTGTTTTGATCAGTTTGACTGTTTTTTAAAAAGTTCTTTAGTGTTTTGTTTTATAGATGTTATTTCCTTTGCTGTGATGCTCCACAGTCACCTTAGCATTAGTTTTCATAGATAATCATTTCTGGATATATAGGGTCCAAGCCCTCACTGCCTGGCTAACCTCATTTCAAATCTGACTGAACTCGCAACGGGTACAGAAAAAAGGTGCTCTTAGTGCCAATAAGGTACAATGTGTTTTGAAAAATCTTTCTGCCTGTTGGTCAGAATCAGATGCTTGATACAATTGAGATTAAAATTACTATAATAATTACATGCTCAGTGCACTTGTGGCAAAGCTTTTATGAATTATGGGAAAAGTAGTATATTCATTTACAGAAATTTATTTTGGTTACTGTGAGACATCAGTTAATTGGGGCTCAGATAATCAGGGTTATATACTATATTCCATTTTTTTATTTAGGTCATAATTATGAGTATTAAAAGTAATAATTAAACTTATTAATCATATGTTCAATTTATTTAATTTCAGGCATGTAATGAACTTGATCAAGTATGGATAGAATCAGGTGTTAGTGAAAATGCAGTTTCTGGACACATCCAAGTTATAATTCCTGGTGAAACAGCTTGCTTTGCAGTAAATATTTAAAAAACAAATTTTTAATAATTATTAGTTTGTTTAAAATAATTTATGAATAATAATAAACCTATATTGAGAAAAACATTATACCTGATAATTAGTATTTCATTTGTAAAAGTATTTAATTTAAATGAAAAATTATTTATTGTAACATCATCACAATGCCTGGCTACAATTTTTAATCATATTTTTAATAATTTTTAAATTGAAAATATAGTATATGCTCTCAACCTCAAATTAGTAGTGTCTTGCCCATATATATGTATGGAAAAGTATGATATATATATCTATAATATAATCGAGACGGGTTGATGATAATAATAATAAGTGCAGAGCCCAAACGGTTAGGAGTTGGAAGCTGAAATTTGGTACACAGTTAGGGTACGTCACGAAAATGCACACTAAGAAGGGATTTTTCGAAATTCCTCCTGGGGGAGAAAGACAGGATTAAGGCTTAACACTTCCATTAACAATGGAAGTGTTAAGTAACAATGGCAGTGTTAGGTAACAATGGAAGTGCTAAGTAACAATGGAAGTTTTAAGTAACAATAAAAGTTTTAAGTAACAATGGAAGTGTCAACAATGGAAATCTTACGTAACAATGGAATTGTTAAGAGAAAGCGACGTGCGATACGCAGATGCAGTTTTTTCGTTTTTGCAGGAAATCGAACATATTTTTAGACCCATCTAAAAATTCTCTAAGGGGACCCAATTCTTGCATTCTGTGAAAACGGGTAAGGTTGACTGTAACGTAATAATCTTTATCTTAGTTATCGTTACTTTTGCCCGAGCAACGCCGGGCCCACCTGCTAGTATATATATATCATACTTTTCCATTGGCAATAGAGTCGTGCTGATCATCTATCAGGTTATCCCATAAGTAATGTCATTTTTTGAATATCAATATAATCAATGCCATATGATGGGCAAATTATGAACTACACCAAGGTTATTATACTAGTGCTTGATTGGACAGTTCATTGTGTACACATGCACAGAATGTGATTAGTCCACAGTAATTTGTTTGTCAATGAAACATGTTTAAACAATGTCTGAAGAACACATATGGCATGTTATGTTTTATGAGTCCATCTGGGCCATTCAGCAACCTTAGCAGCACAAAACATGAATGCCATATATGGGCACAGAACCCTTGATGTTCACAAATGTCAAAGATCATTCACAAAATTTCGAGCCAGTATTTCTCCTAAGTCCATATAGTTTTCACACGAGAGATTATTTTAGTGGGTACAATCCTGTTGAGCTTGAATGTTACCCATCTGACAACTTTCAGAGGTGTCACTCAATCTATATTGGGGTATTGTATTGGACTGTTGATTGACTTTTAGTTATAAATGTATATGTCTTGAAAGTTCATAGTAATAATTAACTACAATATGCATGAACAATTTCACCTTGTGACAGACTTCAATTCCTGTCAGTGCATCCTATACAATATACTAGCATTGTCCAGTCAGCAAATTGAGGTCATCAAAAGCCTCCTAATTTCATGAAGGACATTTGTTACATTGTACTCCTAATGCAGGATGTTTGTGTGCCTCACCAAGCATTTGGGGGATAGATGAACATGAAGCTCAAATGTGGGGGTGTCTCTCTAAATTGGGACATATGGCCACATTAATTTTTTTTTTTTTTTTCTTTTAAATAAGATAAGATGCTTTTCTTAAATGATGCAAATTTTAGTTTCACATTTCTTTATTTCAAATTTACAATATTAATGAAATTATGAAAGTATTATAAACTACTAAATGAATTTTAAAATTATTTTAAAAATATATTAAGTTTATTATGTCTATTAATTTTTTAATTTACAGTGTGCTCCACCATTGGTTGTTGCATCAAATATTGATGAAAAAACATTAAAAAGAGAAGGTGTGTGCGCAGCAAGTTTACCAACAACAATGGGAATTATTGCAGGTTTTCTTGTTCAAACAACACTCAAGTAAATAAATTTTTTATGAAATTATTTTATTAATCATTATAAACTTGTATATAATGATTTATTTGTATATATTTATTTACATTTTTAAAAAAATGTAAATAAATATGAAATTTTTAAATAAAATAGACTCAGCAAAGAAATATTAAAGAAAATTAACATTTATCCACTTGTTTTATTTATTCTATAATATTATTTTTAATTAATTCTAATAAGAAATAATATATATTCTAATCTGTGTAGTAACTAATGAAAATTCATGATTGATAAAATTTTATACTTGCTTTGTTAATTTTAAATTAAATATTGTAGTGATATAAATTGTAATACAGTAAAACCATGTTAAGTCAAAATTTAAAGAGTAAAAAAAATTCTGATTTTGAGTTAGAGTTTCAAGTTAATGAGCTTAATACATGATATTTTCTCAAATTTTTTTCTGGTCATAAATTTCCTGTTATCAATTCTTAAGAATCTGTTTACAGAATGACTACAAAATTATATACAGTTTATGGTGCTTTTTAATGCATTGTCAAGGCACCTCTTGTGACCCAATCAGAATGCCACTAATGTACTGTATCATTAAAAGGATGTCGACATGAGGTTGTAATAGCATGATGTTGTGTTTGGCATGGAGCCATAGTGTATGTTCATCTTAATTGTCTGCATTCACACAGAATATAAGATAAAATGAAAATTATCTACTATAAAAAGATGGATATATTATATGGAAAACCTTATATACTGTGCCTAGGTCCTGTAGATAGCTTTGAATAACCACAACTTTGATTTAAATGCAGTTTCACTTCATAAGGATTTACTATAGTTTGATTAAATGTATTTGAAGTGAGGGATTATATTTGCAAATAAGCATTTTTATAGTTAAAAAAAGATAAATTTTATAAGTAGTTTATATCATAAATATAAACACAATTTTATGATATAGTATAAACTTATAAATTTAGTTATAAGCTTATTGTATATTAAATCTTTATATTGGAAGATGATATTAATGCATGTATATTATCAGTATGTATTACAGCAATAATTATTCATATAATCAATTATTTCAGATATTTACTTGGATTTGGTAATGTAACATATTATGTAGGTTACAATGCTTTACAAGACTTCTTTCCTACAATGGCTATGAAACCAAATCCTAACTGTGAAGACAGTTATTGTAGAAAAAAACAGGAAATATTTAAAGTAAGTATATCTAAAGAAAATTATATGTAATTAAATATAGATAACCCTATTCAATTTAAATATCAAAAACAATTAGTAATCAGTTACTTATACATTAATTTCTTATTTACAATATTATTAAATTGAGTAATTACTATTTGAGATAGATTTCAATAATCTTTTAATAACATTTTCACTATTTTTCATATTTTATTATATGGTAATTGATTCAACTGAATTAAAATAGTTTAATTTTAGAAATCTTTCATCTGATATATTACGACTTTAAAACCAATGATTCTAATATAAAAAATAGCATCAGAAAGATGTTTAAAATTTCTGAATTCTCTTTAATAAAAGCTATCTATTTCTAAAAAAAGACTTTAGGATGTTGCACTAACTGGAGTTCTGTGCTTTATCTAAGCATTTTTAAGAGAAAAATGAACCAAAATTATGTTTATATTCATTTTATTAAAATAATTAAAGAAGTAAAATGTTTTTTTTGATTTTCTTTTATTCTAAATATTATTTTAATAATCAAAATTTTAGGATAATAATAATAGAACAAAAAATATTTAAATATTCTTTCTATTTGATCTTCATAAAGACAGCTGTTTATTGGATCAAATAATAGCATCAAAAACGAAATATTTTTATATTTTCAACAGTATATATTTTACTGTTTTTAAAGTAATAAGTAAACAAATATATATATCTATCAACCTGATTTGTAGATTTATGCCAAGTGATTATCAGATTGCATTAACTCTAATTCAAGAGATGGTGCCTAATGCTTTCTTCTATGCTAAATTACTTAACATTTAATTATTATTTTTAAAAAATATAAAATATCATGAATATACAAAGAAAAAAATGTTTTGCTTCTCTTTTCTTTTCATCATTCACACTAGTGACATTCCAAAATATGAATTTTCACACAAGGAAACAACCTTTTCTTTGAGCCTCTGCAATAGAATGTAAATGGTAACAGCATGCTTTGCCAATTTTGCCACTATCACAATATAATACATAAAGTAAAAATTAAAAACTTGGCTATAGCCAAATGTAATCCAGCAATTATTTGGCATTAAAGTAATAAGTATTTTATTTAATAGTTTAAGAATATTAGAAAGATAATAGTTGCTTTAATTTTTTAATTAATTTTTCTAGTTATGATGCATTTTAATTATTGTGGATTTGCTCATAGTTATTTTAAAATAAATTAATTGCTACCTATGGAAATAATTTCCTTAGAAATCAAATTTGAAAAAATTTAGTACAAAATATTATTTTATAGAAAAATTCTATGCAATAATATTTTCAGTACACTTATCATTATGTGAAAATTTTTATAAATGCAAATAACAATAGTTTTAAAATATTTTTTGAATGCTATATTTAATATTTACATATTTCACTTGTATTTAATGTATACCATCTTTGTATAATTAATTTATTAATATCATTAAATGAGATTTAAAATAAGATTATTTACATTTTTAAATTTAAAAAAATGAAGATTTTCCTCATAATTACATAAAATGAATTATAGGTAACTTAGCAATGCAGTATAAAATTTTAGATTATAGTATAGAAAATACTTTTATTAACAGTATTTTACAAAATTTTTTTAGGAAAAGTTGGCCCTTAAACCAAAAGAAATTGTTAAAGAAGAAATAGATGATACAATTGTTCATGAAGATAATGAATGGGGTAAATATAAAAAAATTCAATATAATCCAGAGCAGTGTCATAGCACCATTGAAGATATGAACACTACAATATTTTCAGGATGAAGATATCTTCACTTTGAAAATATTATAGTGTGTACCGATTATTAATCTAATATTCTTATTAATATTACCTATTTGTACTTTGCCAATTTGTTGTAACAATCTGATAGTTTCTGTGGCCCCCAATCTTTCACATTTTTTTCTGTGGCCTCCCTGACATGTTTCATGGTCTCTTCGGGAGCCATGTAGCTCCTGACTGTCCTACATGATAATGCAACTGGAAGTGCATTAGGGACAGGAGCTCCTTAGCCAGTTGGACCATGATCTCTTCATCCTATATAATCTGTCTGGTTTATCTTCACTGTGTTTCACAAAGATTGCAAATTATATCTCCAGGTAACTAATGATTTTGTAGTGAGCAATAAAGTATCTTGTTATTGATGTTGTCGAAACCGTGTTGTATTTGCTTATTGTGTACAGGTACAATGAAGTGACGTTTTTCTCAACACTGGGCTAGTTGAATCTTTTATTTAGTTAGAACGTTTTTTTCCATACATCAACGTTTCGGGCATCAGCCCCTCTTCAGCTAACTAAATATATATAAAAATATTTAACAGGACACAAATAAAAACCAAAAAACTCACATAAATTCTTTGTAAACCATACCTCATTTCAGCATGGACACTGCACATACAGCAGAAATCAGACTACACTTAGGTTTTTTTAACATTTTCAATATCAATTTTTTATCACAATTTTAACTATACAGGTTAAAAACAAAACCTTTTTTACATTTTATTACATAAACAAGATAAACTCTGCAGATTTTAAAAAACTAAAACCCACAAATTCCAAAAGTCTTTTTTTGCCACCTCGTCGACTGATCCGACAATTTGCATATAGCGCTATGTGCCGTAAGTTATACTAGTTAACAAATTAATCGACAAACATTTGAAAATCCCTAAGGAAATTACAAAAAAATTTTTAATTTTTTTAATACAATAAATCACTATTTCTCTTAAAGTTTACTCTACATATTTTCTTTTTATCTAATTTACATATGACGTTAATACAGAACATTGTTTCATTAAATAATTCGTTTTTTACCATTCTATTATTATAAAATAGTAACCAGTGTTGAGAAAAACGTCACTTCATTGTGCCTGTACACAATATCTTGTTATTGTTAAAGAAGGTGACTTATTGCTTTTATTGCATACAATGTTTCTGGATTGCCTTACTTAGGACAACAATTCATACACTATTACATTCATTTTCATTCATTGTATCCATTCTTTCCTTAAAAAATTTCAAATGTCTTTAAATTTAAAAAGAATTTTTCTGGAGTCACCACCATGAATCTCCATGTTCCTGAGGCAGCCATCTCCAGACCTGATGCACTTTTCCTGCAAATTACAAATGGGGTAATTCTCCTGGTTAGCTAAATTTTCATTCTCACAAAAAATGATGTTATGCTACTTATACAGAATAATCAGATTCAGTTCATTTCTCCACCTTTAATGATTGATAAAAGTTGTTTAAATTCATATAATTAGTTTTATACAATGTTTTAAATACTTTTAAGACCTAAACACTAGATTATTTATGAACTATTAATTAAATAGTTGAATTACATAATTTGGCCCAAAGCTAGACAGTTAGTTACAATCTTGTGCTTTATTAATAATTAAAGATTAATTTTGAATTACTCTTTAATAAGTTAATAATAATGTAAATCAGAGTACAGTCGACCCCGTATAATGCTGTTGATTTTTCCATTTTATATGAATTCCATGATGTACGAATCACTTAGATTTTACAAATACATGAGCCGTTCACAGCCCAGCACACGTATTTGTAAAATCTAAGTGACTCGTACATCATGGAATTCATATAAAACAGAAAAATCAACAGTGTTATAGGGGGGTCGACTGTATATCTAAATATTAGAAAATTTAATTCTTAATTTATGTTTTTACTTTGGTATATTTATGTATTGTATTTCATACGTATTCTATTATTAACTTGAAACTAGTATTTCAACATTATCAGTCTATTCTAGTACTTAATCTTTAATTTATTAATTCTTAATACAACAAAATTAAATATATGATTTTAATAAATAAAATGTGTATTAGGAATCTGTGTAGTATCTGAAACATCTCCAAATGAGGAAAATGAAGAAGCTGAATCTGTTGCGGGATTAGCAGGAGGGCTTAAGTATGCTTATACTAAACCAGCTTCAAACGTAAGTAATTATCTTTAAATGTTATAAAATTCTTAACAATTATTAATAAAAATTTTTCTTCTAGTCAACAGCAGGACCAGTGGTTGGCGATACCGACGAATCTCTCGATGATTTAATGGCAAAAATGAAGGCTCTTTAACAATTATTATTTTTATTCATTCATACAATTTAAATATTATTTTAATACTTATTTCAAGATGTGTACAATAGTTATTGATGGGGTTTATAATTCTTCTTATTTTCGGTATAAGATCTTGTAAATAATATATGAAATTAAATATGTTTTGTTGAAACTTGTTTTTCAAATATAATATCAAATGCGAAACGTTTTACAAATGACATCTGTTTTTACAGACCAATTTGTTACATTGTAAAATAGTTTTGCCCGGCTACTATGGGGATAATTAATTGTCTACCAACAGTTGACAACTCAAATTTGAAGTAGAATTTTAAAATATGAATTTTGAAAAAAAATATCAGTCATATACAACAACATGGAAACTCTGACAAACTTATTTTGCCAAAAATTATTTTCCAACTGAACTTTCTCTTCTGATTAAAACAGACTTTGGTCATTTGTGTTTTACTGTTCAGTTTAAGATGAACATTACTGTTTATGGAAAAGTTTTACTCACAAATTTAAAAATTTACCAAATATAATAATTAAAAATATCATTTAAAACAAAGAGATGACAAATTTACAAAGATTAACATTTATTTTTGTTTATCAGCAGCAATAATTTTCTCCCATCTGCTCTTTCAACTTGAAATTGTGACTCCTCAAAATGTATCTAAAAGATTGTTAAATTACATTATCAAAAGCTATTGCATAGATATATATTTTTTAACATTATTTTATCCACTAACATGACACGGCATCAAATTCTCAGTTGTTTCCATTTAGCTCTTCTGAAATATGGAAGCCATTTAGTATTCCTCAGCAAAAACAAAACAATCTTACACCTCTAGCTGATGAATTTTTACGTATACACCAAATCGTTTATAGACAAAAATATATAAAAAGAAATTCAGTAAATTGAGATCGGAAAATAGGTAGCTAAATTCGCTCTACAAACACCCATATACACTACCACAAAGGAACCAATATGGCCACTTCCGCAATGCATCACAGTATCGTATCCTGATCTTTTATTTATATACATAAACACGCAAATCAAGCCATTTAGATCTTCGTCAGCCGTCTGTACCATTTTATGCGTCGCAAAACGCTCTCCAACGACCAGAAATAGAGGCATTGGGTGATGAAATCCACCAAATACTGATCTAACAGAATTTATTACATTAAATCGATCGCTTCTTTTACGTAGCACTAATACTTCAACCATGGCAATCAAACACACACCCTCTTCATCAAGTTTATTCAATAGTTGAGTAATATAGATTTCCTCAAACAGTTTCTCACAAAAACAAAAATACATTCAACCATACCAGGAATAATACAACTTGTTGACAACTACACTAATGCAACACAACAAATGTGAACAGTGTTTTAAATTTGCTGTATCGTGATGTGATATGAAGGCACAATATAACACGTGTTAACACAAAACGTCGTCGTAATCTGAATTCAGTTAAAATGTTGATGGAAGTTTTCAGGGCAGCATTAAGGTTTTTTGTTGGCCACAGTCACTCTTGTATATGAATCCCCACCTCGCCTCGACGTATCACTTGATAGAAAGGCATCATTCTAAAGTTGTGGTATCGACCTCAGAGCTATTTTCTACGTATACCCAATTTAAGCCTCAGTTGGCACATTACGCCATTAGTTATGTTCTGTTTTTTTTTTTCTTTATCCTTTTCTCCCTATGGATTAAGCCAGGTTCACTGGGTAGTGACGGACGGGGCGCGACATATATAAGACAGACCACCCCGAAAAATTCCTGGGGTTCAATCCCGAGTCCCTTGGAACAATACTGTAATTGTTACCTTAATTGCCAGGATCATCCGGCCTTCTGTGTTCGATGGTTGTAATCAAAGGGATACCTGCAGCCAGATAACAATTAAAAATCAATCATATTGTTGTTATCAAAACTCGATAGAATAGGAAAGAAACTAAGTAATAATAGATAAAACAAATTCGATAAACAAATAATAGTCAGCTCGTTTGAAAGAGTTACAGTACTATCAAATTACCTTCAACATTCATTTTTAGATAAGTTAAAGAATAGATAAAACTATAAAGGTGATTTAATCACTTTTAAAGTTAGTAAAGAGCGTAGATTAACATAGAAAATGTTCTTGGAATTAATTTATTTCTTGCCTTTTGTATTAGTTGAAAGTCAAGAAATTAATCAACAATATGATTATGTCATTGGTAAGTTTTAAATATAACTTGTTTTAAAATTGAAATTTACATAAATCATATTATAAATATATTATTGAAATAGTGTATATAGTATATATGTTACCGCTAAAGCTCGAAATCCGTTAATGTGCGCATTACCTAGCTAATCTGCGGATTAACTAGGGTGATCCGTTAAAGCTGCTAAAATTATTCCATTTCTCAAATTACCTAGGTAATGTTCAGATTATCTAGGTAATCTGCAAATTACCTACTAGGCACTCGGTAAAGTGAAAATAAGATTTTTGCTGGAACAACAGCAACGTTTCTGTACGCTTAAATTAACATAATGTTATTTATTTAATTTTCAATATCTAAAGAATCAAGTTAATACAATCAACAAATTAGTTGATTGAATCAATCATCAATCAATTAAAAAAACTTTAATACAAAAATCAAACGGTTTAAAATATTACTACAATTAGGGAAATGAATTTGCAAAACATATGATAAAATTGTACTTACTTATTAGTGCAATCTAAAGATTGGTGACACTTTGAATTACGTAGCAGTTGGTTTTTGCGACAAGCACGCCTATTTGTGGTACATTTAGATTTGCAGTCAATTTTCTGAAACCCTGCCCAGTACCAAGGGATTGTTTTATTGCTGTTTGACGTAAAGATATTTCTACAGCAGGGACATCCATCTTCTTTCGTTAAAAATCTCTCTTTGCAAACACTGAATTCAGATTTTGCATACAATTGTTTTAAAATACCTGTTTTAGTATCAAGTTTATAAAAGCCATTCTCTGTTTTACTAAGAACCACAACTAAAATTGAACGTGCATCAGTTTTTGCTCTGTCTTCTTCGGGTACTTTAATTCTCACAGCGAAACCTTCATCGGCGTTTGGGTGCTTTTCATTAGAAACTGCTAACATTTTCTTTGCTTGCTTTTCTAAACATNTGTAAAAAAATATGTCACAAACGAAAAGATCGACGAATGGTGATAGAATAACCATCCCTGCCATCAAAGGTGGATTGAGATTTTTGAACATTTTACAGCAGAAGAAATTGTTTTCAAAAATGTTTGTAAAATCGTAGAATTTTTTTTGTCTTCCTGGATCTAGTGCCCCCGTTGAACGAATATTTTCATTGCTGAATAATATGCGGACGAATGAAAAAACCCATTTAAAAGTAAGCACATTAGAAGCATGTACTGTATTTCTGTCAAATACAACTTTCAAATGAACTGTATGGAATTTTATGACTTTAAAGCGTGAAACGGCGCTATAAAAAAATTAATTCTAGTGAAAAGTATCAAAATTAATGTTATTTAAATTTTTACAATGTGTGTATGTGTAATAATTCAGATTGTTTAAANAAAAACGATTACAGTACATTCTTCTGGGTAATCAATATAAATATCAATTATATCTCTTCACTTTGCTGCAAACTTTCAATCTTGGGAGCTTAGAATGATTCGGGTACTTTAATTCTCACAGCGAAACCTTCATCGACGTTTGGGTGCTTTGTATTAGAAACTGCTAACATTTTCTTTGCTTGCTTTTCTAAACATTTCTTGGCTTCATCACGCTGTATTTTCTGATTCATATTCTTTTTACAGATGATGCACAATACATTCTTACCATACCCTTTCTCTTTAGGATCTACTTCACCACAAACTGCGTGAACAAACATATTACACGATTTACACTTGTGAGCACTTGATGCTGATGCTGCTTTTGAGCAAACAATACAGACTATGTCTTGTATAGTGCTCTTCACAGCAGTGGCGTACCGTGGTTGTCAGCCGCCCGGGGCGGAGGAAAATTTCGGCCCCCCTTGTTTAGGTATTTCAATTTAAAAGACCAAAATTCAGTTTTGTCACAGAACAAGCAATGAAAAATTCGATGATAGTGCAGCGACCTATTTAAAATAGTTCTATTGGATATTAGTGGTGTATATGAACGCGAATGAATCCTACAAGCAAAAAAAAGGTCAACAGGTTTCTCAGGAATTCCTCGGACGAAAAAGTTATTAGTTCACCCGACGAGCCGATTCCCGGACTGTAAGGACGATAGCACTATCGTAGGCGCGATGAAGTATAGATTAGGATGTTTCAAAATTTTACAAGATATTATTATTATTTATTGTGAAATTTTGAAGCCCCTAAAAAGTGCCGCCCGGGGCGGGCCGCCCCCACTACGGTACGCCACTGCTTCACTTAGCTCTTCTGAAATATGGAAGCCATTTAGTATTCCTCAGCAAAAACAAAACAATCTTACACCTCTAGCTGATGAATTTTTACGTATACACCAAATCGTTTATAGACAAAAATATATAAAAAGAAATTCAGTAAATTGAGATCGGAAAATAGGTAGCTAAATTCGCTCTACAAACACCCATATACACTACCACAAAGGAACCAATATGGCCACTTCCGCAATGCATCACAGTATCGTATCCTGATCTTTTATTTATATACATAAACACGCAAATCAAGCCATTTAGATCTTCGTCAGCCGTCTGTACCATTTTATGCGTCGCAAAACGCTCTCCAACGACCAGAAATAGAGGCATTGGGTGATGAAATCCACCAAATACTGATCTAACAGAATTTATTACATTAAATCGATCGCTTCTTTTACGTAGCACTAATACTTCAACCATGGCAATCAAACACACACCCTCTTCATCAAGTTTATTCAATAGTTGAGTAATATAGNACAACATCAATAACTGAGGAGAATTTATGGCTCCTGCAGACAATATTACTTCTCTACGAACTGAAACGGTTATAGTTTTGCCATGGTAATCGAATGTCACACCAATTGCACGTTTATTATTGTCAAAGTTGATCTAAAATATAGTATATTATTTTACTTATCATTAATACACATGATTTTATTCTTATTTAATTCTTATAGTAAATTAAAAGCTATAGTTATTCTAAAATTTAACATATTTTTAATTGACGTATTTTATGGCGTAGCTTTTGTCCAAAAAAAAACAAGCTCAAAAATCGGTCTGCATTAAGAAATGAAATGCATTTCCTTCAATAAAAACTATATCAATAACGGCTCCCTGTGTTATGTGTTACTGAAGAAAGCCAATAGCTTTTAAAAACAAAATATAAAAGTTATTAATAAAAACCAGAAAATGTATGGTTGAAAAGTAAATACTTTTGTTACGAATGCAGAAGTACGAATGTCTAAATTTCTTCTTCCAACTATAGGATCTAAAAATGCCTTCTTTGTACTGCATCGTCTTCCATCTCTTATTGTTGCTTGAACTTCGGAAAATACTGAAAATATATAACAAACTTCATTATAGATTACATTTAAATTTAATTATTTATAGTAGTTAAAGAAATGGATATCATTATTTAACTACTACTATAAA